ATGCATGTAAAATTCTCTGGTACAATTTTATGGTTTATTTCCAGTTATTTAGAGGACTCTTACTAATTACTTTTAAGACTTGCCTCTGAACATGGTATAATTCTCCCAAACAATTTTGGTGAATGAAGTGGATTATGCCAGTTTATCTGTCTAGCAAATAGCTATTTTAAGCATTTTCCATTTGTGGAATATTATAGAAAGACCATCTCTTACCACTAGAACCACATTACTTTATGTGCTTTTTTTTTCTCTCCATTTGAAAATTTGTGTAGTTGGCTAGGCACCAATGGCTCCTTGCCAGCAATCTTAGCTGCTCAGGAGGCTGAGATCCAAGGGTCATTGTTCAAAGCCAGCTGGGGCAGGAACGTGTGAGATTTTTATCCCCAATTAACTACCAAGAAACCTAGAAGTGGAGCTGTGGCTCAAGTAGTAGAGTGCTACCCTTGAGCAAAGAAGATCAGAGCACTGTCCTTAAGCAAATAAGCTCAGGGACAGTGTTCTGGCCCAAACTCCAGGCACCAAAAAAATTTAAAAGATTTTCAACATAGCCAGGGTTTTATACATTTCAAAAGACAATTTTACGTCAGTAGGATGGAGGGATATTTTGAGTATTTTGGCAAAGTTCTTCCTCTTTAGGTAGAAATAAGATTTTAAAAAATGAGTAATTTTCATTTTGCCTCTATAACTGGAAAAATATTCAAATTTATGGGCACATTTTGTCTGGAGCAAATATTCCCTTTATAAACGTTGAGTCTCACTTGTAGGTGGCCTTTTAAAATACATTTTATATACTGTGTTCATGCTTTGGCTTTATGCCCGACCACCCAGATTGCAAACATCAACAGTAGAAACCCACTGTTAAAGGAAAATAAACAAAAGAAAACCCTAGAAAATATTATAAGTGCTAGTAATAAATTATTCACTAGTGTTCATATTGGAGCAGTAATGACTTATAATATTAATAAGTCACAGTCCTCAAAATTGCCCCACTATTTATTAATACATTTAGTGTTTCCCATCCTTCAGCTGAGATACTTGTTGGGTGTTAGAAATAGTTGCTTATTTGCTTGTTTTACTTAATACAGAGGTTAAAAATCAAGGGCAAATACCTATATTCACAGGATTAACTAGCACCACATCCTTATATTAAGAAAATTACTGATTTTGGAAGCCAGTTGTATACAATATGTCAAGCAATCTAAAACAGAACACTGTAGACTGAATGCAAAATGACCATTCCTGACAAAACCCTTCCTCTAAAATTCAAAATCAAAGTATTTAGATGGTTTATACAAGATAGTTTGATTGTAGAGGACAGGATATATGTAATTTATTTAAGCAAAAACAAAAAAAGAGAAGTAAGGATAGGAAGAAAAGGGAGTAAGAAAGATAGGAGGAGGAGTATTCCACACAAGAAGCATACAGTCTAGGATTGAGTGACGAATATATACAAGAGGTATAATGAGGAAACCCTGTTAGAATTCTAGATGGTCTGTATAAGGCAGTGATTTTCAAATTATGTTCTGAGGAACCCCCACAGGGTCTGGTTGGCAAGGGGATGAGGCAGCCAGCTATTGAAATCTTTAACCAAGGTAGGGCTGCAGGTTTGTTAAAAAGACTGATCTGGCTGCATGCAGAGGAATGTGTTGGGAAACTATCCAGTATGTCAATGAGATGGCAGCAGTCCAAATATACTGCTCATCACCAGACTGAAAATAAAGCAGGAGGATGGACCAACAGGTCTGGGTTACTGCACCTGAGTGAATGCTGTACCAGGAGAAGGACCCACGGAAACCTGTCTAGTAAGAGAAATTAAGAATCTCAGGATTGTCTTAAATGCTGGTACTTGCCCGGTGCTGGTGGCTCACGCCTGTAGTCCTAGCTACTCAGGAGGCTGAGATCTGAGGATCACGGTTTCCAGCCAGGGCAGGAAAGTCCATGAGACTCTTATCTGCAATAAACCACCAGAAAAACCCGAAGTGCCACTGTGGCTGAAGCAGTAGAGCGCTAGCCTTGGGCTGAAGAGCGCAGGGACAGCGCCCAAACCCAGAGCCAAGCCCACAACTGACCAAAAAAAAAAAAAAAAAAAAATCTGGTACTTGTGTGTATAAGAATAAATATGTAAGGTAATACTTTGGTTCTGTGTGTGTTCTAAAGAGAAATATAAAGTGGATTAAGTTAATAAATGGCATTATATGGGAACTGCAACTGGAATGGTTAAACTTAACAAATTACTCTATGTCTACCCTCACAGAGCTAGGAATTAAGTTCTCATGTATGACTATCATATGTGTTTCCTAGAAGTCATTAAGTGGAAATTTTTTTCTGTGTAGGGGCTAGGGAGTATGTGGGGGGAAGGGGAAGGATAATGAAGTTAAGTAGGGAAGTCCTAAGCTCTTCAGAGCTAAAGTTTCCATAACCAGAAACTGAAAGTTGGTACTTCTGGTAAAGTGGCATTCCCCAGCTAATATGGTTATGTAAGGCAAGGACTGATCATGATGTGGCTTCTGGTTGGTAAGAATCCCTAGCAGAAAATAAGACACTGTGTTTCTCTTACCTGGTGACATAAAGCCACAATATGAAGGACAAAGAAGTCACTAGGAATTTACTGTCCCCCCCCATAGAAAAAAAATGTTATAAATGAGATAAACATAGAGAGATGTACATTTTGCTCAATATAAGAAAGGCTTAGCAAAGCATGATGTGTATGTCTGTAATCCAACACTCCAGGGAGGTTAAAACAAGAGGATTGAGAGTTCAAGAACAGCATGTGCTTGTCTCATAAATACAAACATTGATTTACTATAAAAGGTTCATAAATACACAGCATCATTATAGTCTGAATTACATACACAAGTTGAAGTTTTAACCCCCTGTATTTGACTGTCTGGTCTAGAAGGACGTGATTAAATTAAATGAGAGATTAACAGTAGGCCCTAAACATATTTTTGTTGTTTAAGCCATCAGCATGGAGCACTTTGCAAATTAAAATCATGCATTTTGGCAAATTCATAAGCAATTATTTTTGTAACAACTTAAAAAACTGCCATTTATGGGCTGGGAGGGTGGCTCAATGGTAGAGTGCTTGCTTTGCATGCATGAGGCCCTGGGTTCGATTCCTCAGCACCACATAAGCAAAAAAGAAAAAAGCCGGAAGTGGCGCTGTGGCTCAAGAGTGGTAGAACGCTAGCCTTGAGCTGAAGAGCTGAGGGACAGCGCCCAGGCCCAGAGTTCAGGCCCCACGACAAGAACCCCCCAAAAAACTGCCATTTGCCATGTAGAATAGACAAAGGACTTAGAATCAATGATCTCCCAGTATATAATACACCTAACCAAGAGATCCTGGTTTCAGATACTGTCCTTAGTAAAATTAACTGGGGACTACTGGGGAAAAGGCTTGAATCTAGGAATAGGACAGGAAATATACATCTGACATGAACCCTAGCGCATCACAGTGCCAGAAAGCAAAGAAGTAGGCAAAAAAAACTTCACAATAATCAGATACATCAAAGGGCACAAGAGCCAATTGAAAGATCTTCCTGTGGCCAAAGCATTCAGCAGCAAAATAAATAGCATTCAGTTATGACCCAGAGTGTAAAACAAATACCCATACTGATAGTAATAAATCATTAATAGACAAGTAGAAGAATTCCAAATGATTTCTTTAGACACTACATAACTCCCCATTCAATCATGAGCTGTGCATAATGACTTCCCTCCAGAAGGATGTTGTTTGGAAAGTGTGGAAAAAAAATAAACTCTACAAGGCAAAAATCTGACAAAACACTACTTTATATATCTGGAGTTTCTGTTGTTATTTTTATAGTTGTTAAAGTTATTGTCTCCCATCAATGGAGATTGGACTCAGGACCTCTTATTTGCTAGTGCTCTTACTACTTGTACCACACCTCTAGCCTATGGTTGTTTTGTTATTGTTGTTGTTGTTGTTATATTTTGTTTTAATGGGTTTGTTTTTTTGGTTTGGTTTGGTTTGGTTCGGTTTTGGGGTTTTTTTGGGGGTTTGGTTTGTATTTTGTCTCTGCTTCCTGAGTAGCTGGTATTACAGGCATGGCTAACATACCTGGTTTGGGGTTGAGGGTTGTTTGTTGTTTTGGAGATTTTGTTCTTTTAGAATTGTTTTTTTTGTGTGTGGGGGATTGGCATTTTAACTTGGCCTTTATTGCTAAGCTGGTGCTGTATCACTTAAGACATGCATCCAGCCCTTTCATTACTCGTTTTGGGGTGGTTTTGTTTTTGTTTTCTTTACATACTGGAGCTTTACTCTTGTTCAGCTTTTTGCTCACTGGCTAGCATTCTACCACTGGAGCCATGTCTCCACTTTGCTTTTACCTGGCTCTTTGGAAATAAGAGTCTCAAGGAGACAGTCTGTGAAGATCAGCAACAAACCTCCATTCTCAAATCTCAGCCTCCTAAATAGTGAGGAGTATAGGCATAAGCCCCAGGTACCTGGCTTTTGGGTTTTTTTTTGTTTTTTTTTTTGAGATAAGATCTTGTAAACTTCCTCTGTCTGGGCTGACCTCAAAGGTAGACTTCTCCCAGCCTCCCAAGTAGCTAGGATTATAGGTGTATATACCTGTGCCCTGGCCTTCAACCTTGATCTTGATCTTCGTATTTACTCCAGCTTCTAAGTAGCTGGATACATGCCTTATCTACCGTACTCACTAATACTTATTTTTTTAAGTCTTACAAGCATCATTGTGTTTATTTGTGTGTTTTGGTGGTTGTTTTTTTTTTTTTTTTGCCATTCCTGGGGCTTAAATTCAGGGCCTTGGGTACTATTCCTGAGCTTCTTTTGCTAGTATTCTACCACTTGAGCCACAGTGCTACTTCTGGCTTTTTCTGTTTATATGGTACTGAGGAATTGAACCCAGGGCTTTGTGCATGCTAGGCAAGCACTCTATTACTAAGCCACTTTCCCAGGCCCATCACTGTATTTAATTAATCTCCTTTTTCCTTTTTTTTTTTTTTTTTACTTATAGGCTGGTGTTTGGAATGCTTTATCCTGCATATTATTCATATAAAGCAGTGAAAACAAAAAACGTGAAGGAGTATGTAAGTATATTTACTTGTTTGTAGTTTGTATAGTACTGGGTCTTGAACTTCAAGTCTCATACCAGGCTAGACTGGGGCTCTACCACTTGAGCCATACCTTTGGCCTTACAGTGGTTCACACCTATCATCTTAGCTAATCAGGAAGCTGAGATTTGAGAATCCTGGCTCAAAGCCAGTTGAGCAGACAAACCCAGAAAATTGTTATCTCTAATTAACCAGCAAAAACTGTAAATAGATGTTATTTAGGAATTAGCCAATGAGCTGTTAAAAATAATTCCATTTATTACTACGCATCAATTTTGTTAATTTTTTGAAGACTAAAGCATAAGGTTGTGTGTTTTATTCTCTTAGTATAACACTCTGATTTTCATTGCAAGATTATTTTGAAAATTTGAAATTTTTAACACTTTTAATTCTGCTTTGTAAATTAAAATACTTTAAACAATGGGATATGGATATTCTTACTCAATTTTTTTTGGGGGGGTGTCGGGTCGTGGGCCCTGAACTCTGGGCCTGGGCACTATCCCTCAGCTCTTCAGCTCAAGCTTAGCACTCTACCACTTGAGCCACAGTGCCACTTCCGGCTTTTTTCTTTTTGCTTATGTGGTGCTGAGGAATCGAACCCAGGGCCTCATGCATGCAAGGCAAGCGCTCTACCACTGAGCCACCTTCCCAGCCCATTCTTACTCAAATTTTTGAGAAAGTTGAAATTTTTGGTACTATTTTTTCATTCCCAATTTACTTTGGGCAACAGTTTTGGGGGTTTTATGTTTTGTCTTTTTGTTTTGTGGGGTTTGTTACTGTATTTTGTCTTGCTTTTTGGTGATAATTAGGTTTGAACTCAGGGCCTCACACTTAATATGTTGGGTCATAACCCATCTCCTATTGCTTTAGTTTATTTTATTCTTATATAACCCTATAGGTCAGAAATCTAAAATAAGTCCACAAGACTACCTTTCTCCTTGCCTTTCCCAGCTTCTGCAGACCACCCACCTTTTTTGGGTTACCAATCTTTTCCTCCATCTTCAAAGCCAACAATTTTGGACTGAGACCTTTTTATACACCCCCTATACCTCCTCTATAAGGCCTTTGTGATTACTTATACCCACTTAAACCAAGGTAACCCCATCTCAGGATTGTCTGGTTAGCAGCTTTACGCCACCTCCATCTTACTTTCCCCTTATCTTTAACATATTCATAGTTTCCAGGATTAACACATATTCTGCCTGTCATGTTATTATCCCATCCATCTTTACTGCAACCATATCAAATAGGCAAAGGAAAGATTCCAATTTTCCAAGCTCAAAGAATTAATAGGCTCAGAGTCACATGAGTCAGTGAAGGCAGTATTGATACCAGATCAGAGACCTTGGAGTTTCTAATTCCTTATTTTTTCTGTTCTGTCATACTACATTTAGAAATGGAGATAAAAATTCTAGTGCCACAAAAAATTCAGACAGCTTTGATAGTCAGCCAGTGAATTTACTTGTGATTAATTCAAACATAGACCTTTGGAGCCACAACCCTGGAAACAATATGGTTATTTTCCTGAAGGACAATGAGGCAGAACCGGGCAGGATACACAAGTCTCCAAATCAACTGTGTTTTTAAAGTTCTGTAAAATTGTGACAGTTCTTCAAGTATTTCCAGTCTAATTTCACTGAAAGAAATGTTGAAGATTACTTTCATGACCTCAAGAGGCTGAGTCTCAATGTAGCTATTCAGTTGTAACTAATTTTAACTGTTTTATCAAAACACTGTCCCTATTATATTTTCCCATATGTTAATTACATCCAAATTTACTTTGTTTTGTATAAAGTACTATCTCACTAAAGTTAACCTTCTAAAAATTGCTGTGAGGCCAAACATGGTGATAGATACAAGTCCTAGGGTGGCTGAAGGAGGAAAATCAAGTATTCTGGGTTAGCCTGGGCTCCTAGTGAGACTCAAAAACCAATAACAAAAGACAATACTCCATTGCTCTGTGTGTGTGTGTGTGTGTGTGTGTGTGTGTGTGTGTGTGTGTGTGTGTGTGTGTGTGTGTGTGAGCCTGGGCTCCTAGTGAGACTCAAAAACCAATAACAAAAGACAATACTCCATTGCTCTGTGTGTGTGTGTGTGTGTGTGTGTGTCAGTGTCAGACATAGGCCTGAACTCTGGGTCTGGGCACTGTCCCTCAGCTCTTCAGCTCAAGGCTGAGCTACTGTGCCACTTTTGGCTTTTTCTGCTTATGTGGTGCTAAGGAATTGAACCACATTATATTTTGAATACCTCTTCATACTCTCTAATTTTGTACTCCTCATTCGCATATGTGTTTCTTCTACTAAAATAAGGGAAATGTTTGTCTTAATCGTTAAATTCCCATTTCTAGAACAGTATATGGTATATAGTACTTTGAAAGAGTGAATGAACCAAAGACTGAATAAATGAATAAGGAAAAGTTGATTTTTAGATATATATGTGAAGTATTAGATTGGGTTAACAAAAGCACATGCATTTCATAAGTGGATTGGTCTATTTTCTTAGCTTTGATTCTTCTGGATTAGGGCATGTACAATCCAGACTGAACACTTACTCCAAAGCCCCGTCAGTGTCTTTGTGCTATTTGGTTAGACCCAAATTCTGGTGATATCTACTTCAAAACTGTTCTGTAAAAGCAAACATTTTTCAGTTAATTTACTTCTTCCCACCCTAACTACTACCATTTCCCTTAAGCCTACAAATGGTAGATTGCACCTGATACAACAGATGCTGTGTTCTAATCAAAACAAATGGAAAGAGCTGTGTATTTTGGCAACTTTCCTTTCTTCCTTTGCCTATTTTTACAACAGAGCTTTCCTAGGATATAATTTCCGGGGTAGTGTGGCTGATATGGCCTACTTAAAGACTTTCAGTTGCAGTAATTGAAATGTAAACTTACTGAAGAATTAGTATGGTTTTGCAAAATTTTTCAGTTCCATACCATCTTTTGACTTCCAAATAGAGTGTTTACTTCCAACTCATGTATAATTGCTATAGCTTTTCTAGGAAGCCAATGTTCTTATTCTGAGAACATTGGAGAATGCAGCAATGAAAAGATTGGCCAACAACACTTAAAAGTTAAAGACAGACATGTGTTCCTAAGATTTTCTAAGAGCAAGAACAAAGAACAGGAAAAACTCCATTGTGAGATTACTCTTTAAAAGGCTTAGAAATGGACCTTCTAAAACTACTGAATTTTTGAAAATGACCTAATTTTTTACTTAATATTTAGGCAATAGAAAAATGAACACATGTAACACATGCAACTTATGCAGTTTTTATTGATTAGTAAAGTCTGAAGAAATTGGCCAGTTTTAGGGGGGAGACAAAAAAAACATACTGAAGAACTTCACTCTCAAGAAGTATCCCTTCCAGGTACCCTGGTTCTGGCCTGTTATCTAGCTACTTGGGTTGCTTAGATCTGAGGATTAAGGTTTAAAGCCAGCCCAGGTAGGAAGCCCAGGAGATTCTTATCTCCAAATAACCATAAAAAAAATGGAAGTGCACTAGTAATAAAGTAGTAAGAGTACTAGTCATGAGCAGAAGCTAAGGGACAATGAAACAAACATTGAGTGTAAGATTATATAATTGGTGGATTGAAAATAAATGCCTAATGTAGGTCCTTTTAAAATCTTAGAATGTGAATGAATATAATCTTTGACCTTTATAAAGTACATTGAAAACATTCCCACAATTTCCACACAAAGATGTAGCTAGCCAAGTGCTGTAGCTTCCAATGAAAAAGTCTTTGGGAAACATAGACATAGAACAAAATTCTCACAGTAATACTAAACCTAAGAGGCTAAGTCAGGCTTTTGCTAATATGTAGGAAGAAATTTACCAACCGTAGTGCCAGTGGAAATGGATTTTAAAACAGAGACAGAAACAGTTGTTTCCATTAAAGGAAATGTTGCTAAGAAGTAAACTGGAATGAAGCCTAGCCACCTCCACCCTAATCCCTAGTGATGGAACAGATTCAAATCATAAAAACGACAATCACCGAAAAAAACTTAGCTGCCTCCACCCTCGCTGCAGAGAACTGTAATAGAAGGAGCCAGTGTTCTGCCTTCCCTTCCTTTATTCAGAAACTACAACCTCACCATTTTATAGAAATCCTCAATTAGTTCCAAAAAACGAGAAATAATAATTGACTGGGAGAGGAAAGTAGGAAGACCTCTGTCCAAGGCTGGCTTTGGACAGAAAGCCATACATCCAACCTGAGAAATGAACTAAAGCAAAGAAGTATAAAGGGACCAGCTGACATGATAGTGTACTTGCCTAGGCAAGCAGAAGGACCTGGGTTCAAACCCCCAAATACTGCCAAAATAAAGAAAGCACAAACATGCCAACATGAACACATACACAGACCTAAGTAAGGGGGACGTATAGAAAAGGGATTGAAAATTTGTTTAAACAGAAGTGTTTAAGAGCTGGGCCTGGTAATCCCAGGCCTGTAATCCTAGCTACTCAGGAGGCTGAGATCTGAGAATCCTGGTTCCAAATCGGTTCCAGAAAAGACTGTGAGATTCTTATTTCCAAATAACCAGCGAGAAGTAAGATAAGAGGTGTGTCTCCAGTAGTTGAGCACCAGCCAGATAGTGAGTTTGAGTCCTAATCTCAAACAAACAAACAAAAATATTTTTTTAACCACGCAATAGGCCAGAAGTAGAATGGAGGCTCAAGTGGTAGAGCACTAACCTTGTGATTAAAAAAAAGTAAAGGAGAACTTCACGGCCCAAGTTCAAAGCCCTAGTACTAGCATACAAAAAAAAAACATTTAAACAAGCAGTTCTAAACTGAAGTGACAAGAGATATATTAAATTACCCATAAATTTTGTTAGTAAGAAGTAGAATGTTTTCTAATACTGTTAATTATATCTGTTTTTCAACTAAAGGTTTACACAGGATCTGCTTTTGGAATGCTCAGATATGTACATTGTCTTTCCATTATGTAATTTTAGAAAGATAGTGCCCCACCA